ATGTACAACAGCTATCTCAACGCCTGGCGGCTTGGCTTCGATGATGTTGTCGTCAACTTGGCGCCGGCGGCGGATGGCCTGAATGACGACGAATCTCTACTGGCTGCTTTGCCGAGGAACGAACAGGGTGACGTTGTGAACGACCATGGCGAGCAGGTAGCCGTGGCCTATCTCCTCAAGCGACCCTTGATCCGCGTCAAACAACTCGCGAAACTAGTGAAATGTGTTGACGCGCTCGTGGCTTCTCCCGACACCAAGGAGCTCCTTCAAGATTTCGAGACGCTGCAGAATAAGGCTCGGCGACGTTTCAAGGAAGAATCCGCTCGCGTTGTCGACGAAGAGGCCATCTGTACCGACAAGTCACGATGCCGAGATCTGGAGACGCTCCAGTCTTCACCCGCAGTGACCATTGACCCGGCCCGGCAAGTGAGCGCCAAGGATATATTTGCCTTGAGCCTCTCCCACTCCAACAGTCAGCGTCTCGATTGCCAAGTAGAGCTGGTGCATCGAGACAACGAAAGGAACCCCGACGATCAGGGCGACTTGCTGATACGAGAGATCGGAGAGGGTCGCCGCTCGTATCTGTTATTTCCGCCTATTTCCATGGCCAATGTATCCGCTCGGACGGGCGATAGTCACTTGGAAATGGTCATAATGGTTTGTGGCCCGTCGAAGAATACGGGCGGCGCGTGGCGCGAGTTTATTACCCTCAAGGCCGACAACGAAGATCAGATACTCGACTGGCTTGATATACTTCCGTTGCTGCCTGTGCCGCCAATGGATATCAGTCCTGATACGTCAAGAGGCTCTCGAGAACCCGTTACGCCCACCACACCCACGCAACGCCGTGAAACGTGGTCACCTCCATCCAGGGGAGGCTCTGCCCAAGGGTCACCTCGCTCGCCGATTGCCAAGGATGTATGTACGTCTACGCCGCCTCCTACTACACCGAAGAAGGAGACGCCTGCGAGGTACCGCCAGCGTGCTTCTACCATGGAGAAGGTCCCATCGTCACCAGGCGTCGTCGATCCAGATAAGACGCCGACCAAAGATGATTATCGGAAATCCGCTTCGAACAACGAAGACTTGGGTCAGGGCAGGGGTCGCCCGATTGAGACAGGCATGCAGTCCGACTTGCCAAAGTCACAAGAACGCCGGCCATCAACACCAAGCCGACACCGTGACGATGGAGCTCCGCCGCCACCTATCCACAGAACTCTCAGCAGGAGTCCTCAAGGGGAGAGGGGGGCAGGCACGCAGTCAGTACCAGTTCTACCGCCGCCCACAGATATCACTGGCAGCGACAAGCTCAAGCGCCGCGGTTCGTCGCCGTTGAAGCATGAATACTTTCCGTCCGATCAGTCTTCCGTGTCCGAGGCGTACTCTACAGGGGAATCGGAGGCTGATTCATCAGACGATGATCTCGAGAGCATCGATATCCCCGAGACTGAGTTGGGCGTCAGCATCAGGAGCGAAGATGATTCATTCCACGGAGACCTCGCCACTGCTACTCCTAGCTTCATCCCGGGCTCTGAGTGCAGTCTGACGCCTTCAAATTCGGCCTCGCAGGTGGGGCTTTATGGATATAAGCCTGCGGTGAATCCGATGGACAGCCCAGTCTCGTATTTCATGGCTCGAATCTCACGATGGTCCGGCAAAGGAGCATGGAAGGATATTTCGAGCGACACGTGCTGCATCGCAGTACGAGATGGCCTCATTGAGGCGTTTGCCCTTCGTACCGGGAGTCGACCCAGCGACACCGACCAGCCGCTCCTCGCACTGGACCTCACCCCCCTAGTTCTCATCAGACAAAGCACCGCCGTCGATCTGGAAATCCGATCCTCCGTGCAACCTCACTCCAAGTTCTACGAGGCGCACAACGCGGGCAACTTTCGATTCCGCTGCTTCGCGGCCCCCGACTGCTATAACCTTTACATGGCGGTACACCAAGCGCGCCTAAACAACCAAAAGTTCATCCAGCTCGAAAACGAGGCCCGCTTCAAGAGCTTCGGCGAGCGACAGGGCTCCTCCGCGCAGCACGGCGACGAAGACGACGACACCAGCAGCCGGCGCCGACGACGTAACTGGTTCGGTAGGAAGAACAGCTACCGCAGCTCGGTCCGCCACGCGCCCTCTAGATCCCAGGACGGCGCCAGCTCCACGCCTTCATCTACGCCCTCTGCATCAAGTTTCCTCAGACGGCTCACAAAGAACGGAAACCTATCATTTAATCTCGCCCTCTCATCGCTTGATCGCCGCGGCGGCGGAAACAGCCTCTACACATCGGAATCCCACTCCGCCGGAAGCGGCACCCCCCCACGATCTCCCTCCGTCAGCGTAGAAAACAGCGGTCCCAGCGGCAGCGCCAGCGCGGGAGCACACCACGCGCCCATGAACCTCGGCGGCGACACCATCCGCATACGCCTACATTTACTCGTCTCGCCTACAAAATGGGAAGACTTTGGGAACTGCCACCTCCAGATCCGACGGCCGCCACCGGGATGGCGCCAGGCTCTACGCGCGAACCACGGCCTCGAGAAACGTGTCACGGCGACGACGATTCCGAGACGAGAGGCCGAGGAGGCGAGGGTGGTGCTGGATGCGGTGCTGGGGAGTGGGTGTTTTTCGGGTATGGGGAGTAGGGGCATTGTGTGTGGGGTGTGGGAGGGGGTTAAAGGGGGGGAGGTGCCGGAGAAGGGGGCGACGGGGGGGAATATTAAGAAGTGGTGTTTTCAGTTTGGGAGTGCGGGGGAGGCGGGGGGGGTGTTGAGGGTGGTGCATCAGGAGGTTTTGAGGGTTTAGGGGGGTTGGAGAGAAGGGTGGTGGTGGTGATGAGGGTGGTGGTGGTGAGGAGAGAGGTGGTGATGATGTGAATGACTGCGGTTTTGATGACTGGAAAACGGTGAGGGTCTGAGTGGTGTCGATGACTGAGCCGTCAATGACAAGAGGCGTGATGGCGTGAGTGTCCAAGGCCACGAGGTGTTTTCCGGCATAATGATTACGGCGTGGTGGGTATCGGGCACATTCTTCCCCTTGCTCTTTTATTTCTTCCCACTTCTATTCCTTTTTTTTCTGTTTTTCTTTTTCTCTAGTACTCTCGATATCCTCCTCTTTGTTCTCCTGACATAGTCAGGGTCTGTCTCTCCTGCTGAGGACTTACCCTTTGTCTTTTTCGTTTTGCGTCACGATACCAAAATCGGAGGACTCGCACTAGGAGCGGTTTGCATTTCGGTCGATATCCCTACATGTTTGTATTTGCAGGTTTTTGACGCTTTGGTTGCGGGCGTTGAGCCATGGGAGGATGTTACATGTACATATGTACTTTTTATATTGGGAATTGAGCTATCGAGGGGACGGTTTGTGTATTTTCTGTACCCAAGCTATGGGAGGGATATATATATATATGGTGATGTTTTGTAATGAAGCCAACTGAAGTCGATGATGGTGTGGTAATGCTTCACAAAACTGGGCCACTGGGCCATATCTGCGCAGTGATTGCTCTACCATCCAAGGGGAAATACTTGTCGTGTACTTTTCGTTTCCCAAAGCTCACCAATCGCGGAGGAACATGTCATATGTTCGAAATTATAACCAGCCAGCCAGCTTTAAGCACTTTGAGCGCTTGGCGGGATACAGTGACTGCAAGTGCCAAGTGGTACATATATCGAAAAAATCACCTCCAAAGTCACTGAAGAACCAATTCAGGGATCCACAGAAGTCGAATCGTGAGCATGACGAGTCTACTGTCTTGGTATCCGAGTTCGTTCTACTGGACGCAGGAAGTCATCTTCTTGTGTTCTGAATGTTAATAGCAAGGGAGTCCAACCTTCCTCTTCGAAAGAGAATGGAAGAAGACCCTATACGCCTCAAGTGACACAGCCGACGAGACGAGATTCGTCACCACTTTACGGAGTACTGCGCGAGGGCTATGGGCAGTGCCAAGTGATTCTGCCGGGCTACCTGCCTAATTCATCTTATCTGAAAGCTCTGCTGACATGATTTCTCGTGGTCTTCATTCATGAGCCTCGAGGTCCTGATTGTCTCGCGGGTCCCTCAAGGAAAAAAAAGAGAGAGAAGTACATGCTCGTGGGTGCACCCAAAAGGTGTACCGTGTATCTTCGCTACGCGAGTGGGCCACTTCTTGTTGTTCGCTTCAGTGTTCACTGTTCAGCGTTCAACGACTCACGAGTTACAACATATGGGCGAAGTATGAGGTACTGTAGTCTGTGCGATCGTCCTGCTCGTCATTCTGTTGGACCCTCCCTCAGACCCAGTCCTTCGCCCGCCCCATACTTCCCATACTTCCCATACTTCCTGTAACGGCTACTCTGTAACCTGTTGCAGCTCTGACCGTCGCGCTGTGCCTATATATCCAGCCGATGTTGAGATGACGACATGCTTTCTTGAAATTCTTCCTCACACGGAGGGTGAAAAGGAACGCAGTTACGTAATCGGTTGCTAGCTTGGCTCGTTGTTGGACCACGGGCCATAGGCGTACCTATCTATATCTCTAGATCAAGACTGAATACAGAATCGGTTACCCTTCGTTATTGCATGCAACCGTTATTTGTTTTCCCCTTACGAGACTGACGCGACAACTCCACAGAAAGCGTCCCTCGATCACAAAAGGTGTCTCAACGAGTAGCAACAACATCTCACAAGGAAAATGTGAGGGAGCGATGACAAATAACAGAACTGCGGGGTAATAGAGTGGTTCAAGGACCGACAGTTCTGGCAAAGCACTTTTCTCAGACGCCGTTCAGGAATGAGGACCCAATTGGTATCACGGCCGTGCAGAAACTGAGGAACCCGGTCCTGTTGGACAGCGCGGAGTGTGAGCGGACGGGGAGAGTCTAGAGAGGGCAGTCGCGATGATTTTTATAGTGTCGCAAAAAGCAAAAGAAAAGAGCCACAGACAGACAGTCTACAGAGCTGAGCCTGCTTCAGTGAATTCGTGTCACGTGTGGGATAGAGTGGGGTGGAAGAGCAAAAAGAAGAACTGTCCTCAGCGAGAGTCGAACTCGCGACCTTCGGATTACTCCAACGTTTGGCTGGATCACACTTGCGTATGAGACCGACGCTTTAACCAACTAAGCCATGAAGACTACCTCGTGGGCTGTTGGATGTAGCGGCCTTATTGCGCAATAAGGAGGATTGAGCTTTTGTAGAAACGGGCTGGCATGCCTCAAAGGTGCCAAGGACACTGAACTTCATGTTTTTATATCAAACAATTGAACAATTTTGCTTCCTGAATATGTTTTAAGTGAACTCAAGCAGAGATCAGAGCAAAAGAGTATTGGTCCCTGAAGGCTGGTAGCGTAACCGAGAGAGCAGAGAATGATACAAGACAGGGGAAAGCGGCGTCGGAATATTTGCAGTAGAAGACAGTAATCACAGTATCATAGCCTCATAATGCAGACTCCAGCCCCAGTGCGAGTCTTTATCGAATGATGCTCAATGCAGGTTTCGTATACCATTGGCTTCGCCTCGAAGGCTCGAATGCTTCACCATTTACCCGCTGAACGACCCTATACCCAACAAACGTAGAGTGGTCAACTCTGCCATATTACTTTTATGATTGGCTTGAGCTAGCCAAGGCCGGCCCGAAAATGTAGACAAGATGCATACGTAGAGTGGCTTCAGGCTACGGTATTCTTGACAGTGGACACCCCCTGGAATAGACACAGCACTGAGCAGGCAGTTGGCGCAAGATAACTCACTTCTGCCCTCCAGGCATACCTTGCATCATTATTCAAAGATCCCCGATAAGTGCATACATACGACTGAATGGTGAGCTACTTGGGGAAGCGGCTACGATTAGAGCTTGGCTTCCGGACTCCCGGAAGTAGCATGTGTTTGCTTTGACGGCTCGTCTCGGACTCTTGGCTGGCCATTCCAATATGGCGCATACAAGCATTGGCAAGCCGTGTACATAGTTTAATGCAATCGGTTTTTCTTGGAATGAGGGACTTTGTTGAGTGGGGAAATAAAAGCAGTCTTGTTCTGAGAACAAAGGCTATAAGCAGAGACGCGCTTGCAAATGTTTCACCATGACTGTAAGCAATGGTCGAGCTCAGCCGTCCGGCGTCTCTGGTACGAACGGGGGACGGTCCTGTAGTGAGCGACGGGGCCTAATGCCTTTATTGTGTTGTATCTCGTGTGTTCCGCTTCAGAACACGATATACATGGTGAGATTGCATAGAATGTAGCATTGGCTCTATGACTAATGAGTGGTGATAGCGTTGGCCTCGGAGAGAGTGAAATATAGTCTCCCTACCGGTCTCTCTGAGAGCTGTTCAAGTCGGCTAGATCTTAGTGCCGTCCCCGATTTCTCAAGAGAATCAAGATAGCCAAACATGGGTCAAAAAGTCCAACGTGGTCCAACTTGATCAAGTATGACTGCCGCACGCTGGACAACTGGCACAGTCAAAAGCGAAGGTGGCGACCCTTCTTGCACTCCCTGACTGAAGAAGCATTTAGTGCATACATCACATGGGTATCACATCAACAGGCTTCCCAAGCCTTCTCGCCCGTCCGTGCCACCACAACTGACACACAAAACACCCCGAAGCTCAGCCGAGTGTGCGAACAGCCTGCGTTGCAATGGCGAGCTTTACAGAAGCGCCCCCTTCCTTCACTCCCTCCTGCCCAACTCCATTAGGTACCTCCCTCTCTCCAGATTGGCATGCAGGTACGGTCTGGACCCCTGCGGTAAAGTACCATCCGCGGCCCAAAGGTCCACCAAATACTGCATAGGCTCGAGCTCATCCATACTCAGCATATCCAGCGTCGTGGCCGTGAGAAGAAAATGGCTGAAACAGCTGTTGAGCTGCTTCTCGAGATTGAGGTGGTAGAAGGGCGTCACAAAGTGGTCCCAGTAAAGATGCGCGTACACGCGGAAGATTTGCCGAAATATCTGCTGAGCTGTCTCAGAGAAGTGCTTCGGAAACCCGCTCCTGCTGCCGAGCCACTCGTCATTCGGGGCAGGTCGTGGGGTGGAATCCGCATCGGCTGACGACGACGGCGACGACGACGACGACGGGGTGTAGTCTGGATGATTCGAGAAGGAGACTGAACTGGGATGAGTGGGAAATAGGGTTGCGTCGTCGATTTTTCCCGGTATCCAGCGCTGCATGAGGGTCATGTATTCGTACGCGGGGAGATCGACGGGGTCGTGATCCTGGTCCAGCCAGATATACGAGTGGTTCCTATATTGTGTTAAACGCCAAGTTTGACCAGAGGAACGCAACGAGGGTAGTGAGGGACGGGCAGCCGCAAAGAACACGTACTCTCCGGCTGACATCTTTGGGCACGAAGACGGGCTGCAGATCGAGTCGCCATTGTCCTCCTTTGCGTGAACCACGCGAACAAAATTCCACAAATTTCGATAGTGCTCAACAACTGCATTCAGGGCAATGTGAGCACAATTCACCAGCCTAGGAAATGTATATTTTCCGCCAACTTTTTGCTGCCAGCATATCCATTATTTCGTACCTTGATGCGCAACCCATTCGCCCGGGTCGACGGTTTTGGGCCTCGCGCTCAAGGTCATGAAATTCCCCTTGACGATGTGTCGTGCATAAGCCGGGTCAAGCCACAGCGGGAGGGGCCGAGGTAGGTCGAGTATCGGAGGCAGGACGACCGCTGACTCGCCTAATAACGAAGGCGATGGTTCTGGACACGAAATACGAGGCACGGAAATCGAGGGTAGCTGAGCATCTGGGAGCACAGTCGTGGCGGAGCTTGTCCGTGTGCTGGCATTGCTGGCATTGAGAAGTTAGGCTGGATCACTTTGGACACGTTTTGCTTCTCCTCTTCTCGAGGTGAAGAACATGACGGATGGGCAAACTCACGAAGCAGAAATGGTGTTCATCATGACAGGCAATCGTGTCCGTTGATGGGTTTGTTGGGTTGTAAAACTGCTCAGAATGCGACGACGACAACGATCAAGCGGTCAGAGGGCAAAAGAGGCAAAAGAGGCAAAAGAGGCGAAAGAGGGGTCCCCTGCTCAATCGCCATACTGGCAACGAGAAGGGATTCCAGAAGCGCCAGGCGATTTTGCATTAGCCGGTCCGTTCTTCGGAGGGGTCCTTCGTCCGTTCAGGTTGACGAGCCAGCCCGACTTGTCTGCGGCCAGACACAAGCAGGCTGTCGGAGGCTGGATATTATGTTGGCATACTAACGATGGGAGAGAAGGAAATTGTTTGCACAAATAATAGCTCGTGAACTCGCAGTTTTGAGTTGGTCGAGCACGAATTGTGCTGGGCTTGGAACCGACCGGCGCGTAGTCCGGGGGTGGAGTCGTCGGAGACTTGCTCTGGGTTTCAGAACTTTCAGCTCACGCGGCCCTTGGGAACAGCAGAAAGAGCAGAAACAAATCGATATGATAGCGTTCGAAGCCCCTGCGAGGGCATGGCCAGCACACGAGAACCTCTTCTTCAACGGATGTCGTCCGCGGTGTCATGCAGAAATGCAGAAATGCAGAAGCAATGCACATTGCAGACGATTTAATTCCCGGACAGCACCTCACGTGCTACGTGCGTGGCGCGGCCACTGAGTCATAGGGAGCTCCGCGTCAGTGCGTCACGGGCAATTTTTGTGGCAAGAGCGCCAAGGCGGGTGGCTGCCAGCTGCCGCTTGAAAAAGGCGGACAATGACTGGACTTGGCTGCAGCTGTTGCAGCGCGCATGACCGCACGCCGACCCACCAGTGGTAAAGATAGGTACCTAAGGTACCTAATGTATCATGAAGCTGCGTCACGTTGGCGACATCGTATGATGGACAACAGTCACGCCGAACCAGAGTTGCCTTGTTGTCGAGGTTAGGAACAAGGCATCACGAGCCAGAATTTTGTACATATCGGACATAAAGAAAGCACTAGGTATCGTGAATGCAGTCTCTTCTCTTCCCAAAGACTTCCATCTGGCTTTGCAATTGCCATCGCTCCGTGCCAACTACCTACCAAACGCAGCAACTGCCAACATGACGCAGGCAGAGCGTAGAAAGGGTCTCTGGCTCATATCACCCCGTCTCGATGCGTCCGAATACCGCGACAAGCTCATGGGTAGCGTCATCAAATATCCCGATGTGCCCACCGAGAGCCGCATTCCCTATCGATCAACCAAGTTCCCCAAGGAGCTAGTGCCCGACCTGGATCCCAAGCCAGTACAAGTGCACAACGTGCGCTTCTGGGAGAAGAACATCCACGACGCGACCCTCAAGGCCACCGTCTCGCATATCATCGATGCCTTTGTCGACCGGGCCAAAGAGAGGAGCACGGAGAACATGGCCACGATTGCGCGCGTCTGGCACATGGATTGTCCTGGCGAGAAGTTTAAAGACCTGCTTCATCACAAGCAGTATTTTGACGAACTCTTTGAGCTGCTCCAGTCGAACCACGGCGTGGGGTACTTCATCACCGATATTGTCACGTTTCTGAACCTCGAGGAGATGCAGTCGCACGGCTCGAGCAACGCCGCCGGCGCCTCTGCCCGAGTACCCCTCGACCCGAGCATGGGCATCCACATAGGTGCCGGGGCCAGGGTCGGTGTCGTTCGCGAAAGAGGATATTCGGCGTGTTACGAGGGAGAGTCGATTGTGTTTATGGGCTATCGCAAGATCGAGCTTGTCAAGGTGACGGGGGCGCGGGCTAAGCTGCGACGCGTCTTCCAGGGTGAAAAGCACGGCTTAGCTGTTATGGACCGCGCTGACCACTGGCCTGAAATGAGGGATTTGCCTCATGAGGGCGACGGAGGGACCATCAACAACTTCATGGGCGGTGTGACTACCCCTACCATTGAGCTGACCGAGGAGGAAAGGGATCAATATGAAGCGTATGAGCGAATAGCCGAGGAGTTGGGCATGGACCCATTCTTCGATTAAAGCGTGGGCTTTGCGTTGGGTTGCTGGTCGTTTTGTGTTTTTGGCCTTGCTCTTTGCTATTTCGTTCATGATACCTGTTCATGTTCGCGAGTGTTTAAACAATACCAGCGCGATCACGACAAATTGATTTTTTTTTGCGATTTGGTCTTGCCATGCGGTTTAGTGGTGTCCCGGGCGTCTCAAGACTGATACGTCGGTTTGCTGTCGATAAATTTGATACATA